TTATCTTTGGATAGTGTCTAGTGACAAGTGCATTGCAAATATTTTATCTAATTGAAAATTTAGAAGATTATTATTTGGAACCGACGACATCCAATGTTGAACATAGTCAAATATTCGTGACTCATACTTCTCAAAAAAAACAAACGAAGAAAACCCTCGAGTAAAAGCATCAAAGCAAAACGAAATCATCAAAAACAATAAATAAAATGGATTCATATTTATTAAAAATCGAAATTTTCTAAATATCACATGATTGTCATCAATTATATTGTCTATAATATCTATCAGAAACATTATTATCTTTATTTGAATATTTTACAGTTATATGAAAAAGTGAAGAATAAATTAGAAAATAATTTTTATCATATTATTGTCCTATTGATCTTTTGTTGGTAATTAATTATTGTATAACATTCACAAAGGTTAACAAATTTTTGTGATTAGAACATCTATATCATCAAAAAATACTTTGTTTTTCCCGTATGATTTTAGTAGTTCTCTTTTATTCTACTAGAAAGAAAATTATTATTTGTTCACTTCCTTCGAAAAGTGTCTTCAGTTTTGTCAATCGATTGCTTCAAAAAAAAAATCTTATAAATAATTACCACTAAGATACCAATCATTTCATTTAATCTATTCTGTGCATTCAGTGAAGGTTAATATCGGTTTTCATCGCAAATATATTAACTAGGCACGTGATAATTAATTTTTTATTATGAGTGCTTGCACTTCTGAGTAAATTAGAGGCTTCAGTTCTTTCTCAAAAAATTTTTATTATCGAAGTTCAAAGTTATATATTTTCGAGTGCATTTTCTAGTACATATAAATATCATTATTTTAATACATATACTTTTGTGATCCAATAATTTTAATATTATCCATTGTACTACTTTGGCTTATCAACGGTAATGTGCAGTCTCATATTGATATGTAAAAGGAACATGAAAACATCAGACAATCACACTTATTCAGTTCGATACCACTGATAAAATAACGAATTATCAATATATTTGCATTATAAAAAAGTTTCTGTTATCATTTTTGTTATAGTTCGAAAAATTCTTATATATTGAACACTAATATCGTATAAAATATTAGAAATTAATATCATTCTCTATATCTGAGTAATCTGTTTCCTCACAATCACTTATGTAATGATAATCAAAATTACATTTAGTACGTAAACCATATATACCTTTTTCATATTAAAATGTCACAAAAATTCACAACATGTGGTTTCGTATGTAGTCACAGAATATATAGAATCGCTTCTATCAACACTTCAATAATAGTATCAAAGTTAAAAATATCCTTTTGATATTGGCTTCGCACAGATCCGCTTCGCATACTTGGTTGTTCTTTGATGGATGCCATTTCATACTTCATTCAAGACAATCTGTTTACAACTGACTAATATAAATTAAGCATAGTAAGAATATAATAACAACACAATACGAATGATTTGAATTTTTCTTTAGAGAAAAGATTATAGTTGAAATTAGAATTACATGACCAATTCTCAAAAATGCAATTGTGTCTCTATAATGGGCAAATCTCAGAACAAAATAAAAACCAAAACGATTATGTTTCTGTTATAACACTAATCATTATAAAATTATTAATGCTTGATAAAATTTAAAACATGACTGCAACTCGGATCATCAAATAGTCGATAGACTCCTTGTGCCGACACCTGAACTTTTCTACGATTAAACATTATTCTATACATTGAATAATCCAAAAAAAATAATAGCTGCTTTTCAAATAATCATAAAAAATATACTTTGACATCTCCTATAAAAAAAAACTAACAATAATTACTTTTATAATTTTCTACTTACATCAACTTTATCTGAGATAAATTACAGGGGACAAAAATGAAAGTTGGAAAGTCTTTCTATAGATCTGCCACTTATCCAAACGATGATCTCATTCGTTTTAGATTAGTCATAATGCCACTGAACCTTATCCACCTTATCTCTTACATTTCTCTCTAAAAACCTTTCAAATGCAACGTTGCTTATTTAGACAATTTAAAAACAAACTATTCACCTAGATTTTATTAATCCTAAAGACTGTGTGATATAAAATGTACCTGGTTTCGAAATAAACACTACCATTGTACAAGACTTAAGAACATTCATCATAGAACCTTATTTTTAAGAAGCGAAATAAACGAACGAGATGCATATTGAATTGGAGAGAAAACTACTACAACTCCTTAGCATCTAAGAAATCTTTTTATCTTTGAATTTTGAATCATCAAAACAATATATGAATAATCAATAAATATATCACACGAATTTATTAGCGAACGAATTTTAACGTATAATTCAAGGTCCCCATGTTTCGATAACAAAAAAAAGCATGAATAAATAACAAGTATAGCAAACGAATTTTAACTAATAACTCAATGTTCCATGTGCCCCTCGTGAAAAAAATACAATAATAATGAAAAAATGCATAAAATGAACTTAATAGCAATTCAATTTTTTTCGAGAATTTAATGTCTCAATGTCCCGTTGACGAAAAAAATACAAGAATAATGAATAAGCATACAAAACGAATTTACTTTCAATCTAAATTATTCAAATCCGAATTATCCCATCTGGAATAATGCGGATAATTTTTATGGTGCTCTCAGTGCTCTCAGCATTTTTGTCACAAGTTTTTTAAAACTGATTTTTTTTCAAACATTTTTGCATAGTTCGATAGATAACACCTTTTTCTGGATTATTCCATTTTTCTATCTACTGGTGAAAAATAGATCCGTAAAAAATCTGTTTCTTTTTCAATCTAAACTAGTTGAGTTATCGCTGAAAAAAGTCGATTTTTTTCACTGATCCAAATTGCACCAGACGATTATATAATATCACGGAAATGAATCATATCATGGATAATCCTCGTATCATACCCAGGAGAAAGAGAAACGAAAGTGTAATACAAAGCTGGGCGTGAAAAAGAAAACGATGAATGAACAAAAGCTATACAGAACGTGATAAATGCAGGATACCCTATAGAGTTTTTCTCATGACCAAACATTCCTAAGCAATGTGTTAGATGGCGCCACCTTTTTTGTCTTGGTTGTTTTCTTTTGTATCTTTACTAATATAAGCGTTTTTTTTTCAGTTGAACGTTTGATTGTCGGTTTATCTTATTTATGATTGTTCACCCTAAAATTCTCAGGAGGATCTGACGAAGTTCGAAAGATACAATATTTGTAGTCACTTTTTTTCAATAATCCCTTTTATTTGTTTCGTTCACGAATGTTTGCAAGATTTCTTCGCTCTGTCCTTAAATGTGATCGAAAAGAAAGAAATAGAATGAAAAAGTAAATGAAATAGTCTACAAAAAAAAACAATTGAAACTTCATGAATGTTTGAAGAAAGACATTGATCAAAGTCTACTGATAATTATATTTTGGGAAAAAAATGACCGAAACAAAGTTCCTACATTTAAGTAAATAATTCAAAAAACTGAATTTGATAAAACAAAACGGTTCTATTCTGTAGAGCGTAAAGAGAAATATTTTCTGTTTTCTTTGAGAATATGTAATATGTTATGTGTTTATAGCAGAATAGTGAACAGAAGAACTTCTTCCTGTCATATGTACGCAAAGTCAGATTGATCTGACGAGGGAACATTCCCAAGTGTCAAATTGCTTTTGGATCGGACATGTGCACAAACGATAGATCTCAGTGAGTTATTACATGTCCTAGAATGATTTGGTTTTCCAGTCTTCTGTTGTCAAGTTATAGATCTTTTACTCTATTTTGACTTATGGGCATAAGATTCTTCTGAGTACCTGAATGATTGAATTTCGAACTGAAATTCTGTCCATAGACAGGCTTTACAAGCACTAGAAACTTCCGAAAGTTTGAGCCAGAACGAACGCATTCTTATCAAGATATTCACATTTTACAGAAATGCCTGTTTTCAGTTGTGTTTCAAAATATGGACATTTTCATGGCCAGCTGGTATCTCGATAAGGATGTGTTCATTCTGACTCAAACTTTCGGAAATTTCTAGTGCTTACAAAACCTATTTATGGACAAAATTTCAATTCGAAATTCAATCATTCAGGTACTCAAAAGAATCTTATGTCCATATGCCGAAATTGAGTAAAAGCCCTATAACACAACAACAGACGGCTGGAAAACCAAACCATTCTAGGACATGTAATAACTCACTGATATCTATCGTTTGTGCACATACCCGATCCAAAAGCGATTTGACACTTGGGAATGTTCCCTCGTGAGAATTTTAGGGTAAACAATCATAAATGAGGTAAGCTGAGAATCAAATGTTCAACTGAAAAAATGTATATATTAGTCAAGATACAGAAAAAAAGAAAAAAACTAAGACAAACAAGATGGCACCATTTACTATGCTACTTGTTCTGCTCGTAATTCTCATACCGAGCAACAATGGTACGAATCCTCTTTGATCATTTATATGCATGATAAACCCTAGCTATCAACAAGATATGAAATGGAATGGTGCGAATCACTTAGGAATGTTTCCTCGTCAGTAAAATTACAGACGTGGATATCCATAGAAGTAGTTGTTCAGTGAGTGTACTTTTATAAATGCCCCATGCAGTACCTACCGCAGTATAATTCCTGAAATCTTTGGAGATACCCATATTGAGTACCTTGCTAAGGCTTTCATAGTACATGGATACGCTGGACTCAGTACTGCCTCTAGTATGACGTCAATTTACACAGTGAAGTTAAAACTTTTGAAACATCCTTTATTTAGTATTTTTAATGAAAAACATCGAATGTATTGCGAATCCATTTCGCATTCTTTTTTATTTTGAAGAAACTACAAAAAGAGCATATTGTTTTATAATTGGTATTGGAATATGTCGATAATTCATTTTTAAAACCAGGTAGTCATAGTATCAACTTGGACTTCATTGGCACCGAGTGGATGTACTCGAAAGTTTTTAATAGTGATATACCATATTTGAACTAAATGGCACGACATCAATACAATTAATCCCAAAACGATGAGCCATGCCTAAGACAAAAAACGAAAACACAATAGATATCGAATCCTTGGAGTTAAGAAAATTCTCACTCTCCACGATTCAGGTACATCGATTGTTAAGTGGGTGAGTCCATATTGCATGGAAGTGATCGCTCCTGTTGCTGTCCACATAATACCAATCAATCGACCAATATATGCAGATGGAAAACTAAAACGAAACATAGAGAGAGAAATATTTGATTTTTGGATTTAATAGTATTGTGAACTATATTAAACATATTTTTAGCTGCACCTTTCTGTCGAACATGGTCACAGCTATTCTTTGATAACTTACAAAGTAGTAATGACTGCTTGTGAACCAGCTACAATTGCTGAACGTGCAATATAGTTAAAAATTAATGCAGGAATAATAAAAGAACTATTGACGAACATGCAAATGATACAGAATATTATATTTAAAATCCATGAACATGTTTGAGCAATCGCGGCATTCAAGAGTTTTTGTTTTAAACCTAAATATGGAATTTGATGATATGTATGTATAGCATTTCAAGCTTTGACACGTACTTCGATTTGCCCGAAATGAAAGAAGAAAACCAACCATTGGACAAAGAGCAATCTGGGATAATGCTGCCATATTGAATACAAATGTATAGTTATCACCTAGAATCAATTGATTTAATAAAAGCCATACTTAAAAATGATGTCTGAGTTTTTGTTTTGAAAAGCGCATTTCCTATCAGATGCGTAATTGGGATTAAAATTTCAACCGGAAAAAAAAAGAATTTTTATTTCTTGTTTCTGCTTCGCAAATCAAAGAATACAAAAACACATCGCGGTGTCAAGATACTTTTTTTAACTGAGTGTATATTGTATGATATTTTTCTTTGTTTTGTTTGGTTTTGAACTTTTGAACAAAATTTTATGTCAATAAAGTTCTAGCCAGCAAAACTTATGCTTCAATTTAATATATATACCATGCAAAATCGAACAATATGTGTCTAGATTAATAGATATCTGAAAGTATGCGTCAAAAATTGCTCAATAAGATGAATATTGTTTGTTATCGCATTTAGTACTTCATGGAAATATAGATAATTCTTACAAAGTTTTTAAACACATGACTCCTTTTGAGTTTAATTACTTCGAGTCAATTTATGTCAAATGAATCGTTTTTAGAGAGCTCAATCTTGACTAGTTTTCAATAGCAAATGATTAGGAAGTAAAATAACTATTAGAAGAATATATTTACTTATTTTTATATCATTATGATTGATATAATAGACCCATGGATACCAAGTAACTGATAAAAGAATATTTGGCATTAATAAAAAGCCTAAGTAAAGAACAACCACAATATATAAAGGATTTGTTAAATGTTCCCAAAGTCCAATACGTCGATAAATTTGTTCATACCATTTTGTTTTACTATGCACTTCTAGTATATATAAAAAAAGAATAACGAAGCATAGAAGTTAAATTTGTCCATATTTTATCCTATTTACCATCTACTGGTGTCGTTATAGTTTGTTTTAATTTTGAATCGAATGTATATCCAAGATTTAATATTGGAAATTTCCAATCAAGAAAAAGAAACGCTGAGAAAAACATCACTATTCCATATGACATCCATATATAAGATAATTGAGACAATGATAATTTATTCCTATGAATTAAAACCTAAAACAATTTCATCATCTTGAGATTAAACGGTGGTGAAAGATTTACTTCAAAAACAGAATACCAAACTGATGCTGACAAAGTTGAACCAACCAGTAACGTTATTAGAAATGTTTGTACCGTTGGAAGATAAGTAGCTGATGTATAGCTTGTTAGTTGTATGATTTTACCAGACAGTGCTGTACATGACGTGTGAACAAACAACAATGAGTCTCGATTTGAAACAATCAAATATAAATAAAAATCAGTAAGACAATTCTTTTTGTTTTAAAGAATACTTATCAGATTTAACAAGAGCCAATGCTAACCATCCTATAACATGAAATATTCTTAAAAAAAGACAACTATTTAAAATCTGTGCGTAGCCGAAAAATACATTTACATTCCGATTAATTTTGTAAAACGAGCACCGTATATATCAATTAATATACCAACAAACACTGATGGTAAATTAAAAAAAATTATACCTAAAGTCAATGCACTCTGGAAGAAAACATCATCAAAATGAACAAAACGTTGAGTACTTCTAGAAAATTTACTTGGTATTGATGTGTTTGTTGATTACAACCATGTTCTGTTGAATTAGTTGAATTCGATGATTGACAATAACTGCTATAGACTCCGTATTGTGGTAATACTTTGAAAAGCGCTGGAAATCCAAAAATATTTCCAGTGGTTAGATTAACTTCAATTACAAACCAAATAACACCTATCCATTTTCGCCATTCATCTATCGTAGTTCTATTAAAGCTTAACTTCATCTATTAATAGAATACATGGAACTTAACATATAGATGAACAAAATATTAAATACGAGAACATACACATTTAATGAAAAATAATGAAAATGAAGCATAGTAGTGACTAAGCGTGACAATACATATATGTCCAATGCGGATAAATACGTGAAATTTTCATTTATATGAGCTAGAGTTGGTGATGAATTGTTTTTTACACGAACTTTCCTGTAACTTCTCAAGAACTATCTGGAAGTGCTATTTATAATCTATCTAGACCTATCTTGGGACGTATCCGTATAATGTTTTTGGGGCAACTTAAAAGCTATTGCAGATATAGGATCACTAAATTCATCATAGAATGAAAGCCCCGTGACATGCTTATAACTTTTCAAATATATCAGGGGTTCGCTCTGTCCAAAATGGATACAAAATACACAATTTTTAAAAAGTTGGATAAATTAGCTTATTTCTCCTCAATATGTTTAATTGTAGCTCAGTTTATGTGTTTAGCTCCTCTTGCGTTGCATCATAGGCGGCGGAACCTTTTCAACTTAGGGTAGGCTCAATACTTCTTGTAAGATCCTCACTAACAGGTCAAAAACAGGGACCGAATACTTTTTTCTGCTATACTATTCAAATCAAACACGGTCGATATTCTTGTATTTTGCACTTACATTTTGTTATGTATAATTTTAGTACAGATCAGAGAAGAATTTGAAACTTATAGTATAGCATGTATCCAAGACATCACGTAAATTTCTCGCTTTGTTGAACACCGATTTTTGAATAAAACCCATTGGATTCAAAATTTTCACATTCAAATCCAGATATGTAGTCTTCATGCTCTCAATGAAATTTCCTATTTTGAATCTCATAATTATCTCACAGGTATGGAATTCTTTTTTCGATCAGAATATTGGTGACTAGTACAGCTTACACAAATTCAAACAATATTGACGGTAATCTTATGACAATCTGTAAGATTCTCGATCCATCGAATCGTCAAATGCTTCTGTTCACACTATATATGTGGATAGCACGATCACTAAATCTAACCCTGGTCTGCTAAAGGGATGAGAAATCTCACGTAAAAAAACATTCTTACTGTATCTTGATATCGTGATAAGGAAATGATGAGGATGATGATGAGACGGAGGTTTATTAGTAATAATAAAAGTAAAGAAAGATATAATAAAGAGAATGACGAAAAAGAGGGGATGATAACAACAGAAAACACCAACTAGTATGTAATCTGATGATATAAAGCTATAGAAGAAATGCCAATCAATATCGAATGCACTACGTGTGGTGACACCTAAGATGAGACTCTTTTTTAAAAGCTCGTATTTACAGCATATGAAGTATGTTACTAATAAAGATTATTTATGATGTTAGATTCTTCTGACCTATTATAAACATGGAACTAAACTAAAATCAAGGAGTTGATTCAACGACATCTTTCATTTATATTTGTTCTCAAACTAAATTGGTTGTATGTGGGCACCGTTTAAGGGAAACAACGAGTTAAGGGAAAATGTGGACACCATTGTAGAAGCACATGAAATCGTATAATGGAAAATTCTTATTGACTAAAAGAAATCAGAATGTATCTCACCATATTAAATTAATTTTCAAATTATGTCAAAAATTTATGAAAAAATACTGAGTTGAAAGAACATATTTCAAAAAGTTCACATGCGCAGTCTAATTGACATGCATGTTTAGTAGTTTTGATCAGATTCTTTCACGCTATAAGTTGACTTGTCCTATAAGACCGGTCGTTTATTTCGATGGAGACACTTGATTAGACAGTTATTCGAATGGTCCTATGTAATAATATAATTTAGTTCAAGATGAAATGTCTTAAACGAGTCTAGCAGAGCTGTTTTGTTGATTCGCTTTTAAAATTAGATGGTTCGGCTTGTTGCCCGTAACTACTCCATTTGATTACTAAAAAGCTATCTTGTATAAAATGAAACGAATTAGCTGATGTAACGAGCTCAATACTGAAATTCGTTCTTCTAAACTTTAATTACATCGTGTATTTACTCTCACGACATGCTTAGCAGAGAAATTATACCAATTAGTGTGCAGATTTGAATAAAACAAAACGAACTATAACTTCTAAATTTAATATCACAAGCCTCAAATTTGAAAAAATTGCAATAGAAACACAACTAATAATGAAAATTTGTATTTTGAAAACATTTCTTCTCTATTGGCTGCTAGCTTTTCGTGCTAAGTCTATGTGCCATCGCGCGATTTCCTGTACCTCTACAATGGTGTCCACATTTTCCCTTAATTTGTTTGTTTTCCTTAAATGGTGCCCACAGTTGTACTATTATCGAATTGTATGCGTGTAGTGTAACGCCATCATTTGTGTGAGACTCATCTTTCACGAAAATAAAACATATAGGTGAAAGTTCCAAAGAATAGGAGGCACCTTCCGCATTCTCAACTTGTTCGTAAGCTGCTGATCTTTTCGCTTATTCACAAGAATCCGAATTACGCTATTCATTAGGGCAACGACTTCCGATATGATTAGATGTCATCTAAATAGTGCAAACTAAATGAAAATAGTATATTCATAGTACCTTTCAATAATACCCAAAGATAATTGGAGTCAAAAACGACCGAGTGAATACACGAACTTTGAATTCAAATGAATACAAAATAATTAAAAAATGTGAGGAGAAATACATTTGTCACCTTCTTTTATAATATTGATCACTGATGCATAGATTGCTTTCGTTTCACTTCAGTGAAAAAAGCAAGTAGTCAGACAGACCAGCCTGTATGATACTTTTTTTTCTCGTATCGCACGGAACGAATGTTAACTTTATTTAACATATGAGAAAAAAGTAAAGTATATCATATCACCCCGGAGCGGTTTTGAATGGTAGGTGTTGGCAAAATAAAATATTATTTTGCCAACACCTACCATTCAAAACCGCTCCGAGGTGATATGTATACCTTCTATTTTTATATGTTTTCATCAAATTTTTTTTTCTGATATTTCTATTGAATTTAGTGCATAAGTGAATCTCTCAATCGGCATTGATTTGATAATTCATGCATATATGACAATAGCCTAAACAACAGGTCAAGAGCTATGACCACGGGTCAATCACTGATAGAAGAACAGAAAGAACCAATAATAAAGAATGAGAATGGTTAGCGGTAATAGAGTAACCTCTATTGACGCTAACATAATGAAGTTAAAACTAGCTCTTACTCTCAGCTAGAACCATCAGATCCAAATTCAGAGACTTGAATCCGAATTCTGACACAGTTAACAGAAAATTCCAAATCCAGAAATAGATCCAGAGCCAATCGACTTCTGAACCAATTCGATGACCTACACTTTTAACAGAGGAGTTTTTCCTATGTATTATCAAAAGAAACTAGAATAACAGCGACACAGCGGTGTTCACAGAAGAGAAGTTACATTGAGAATTTATTTAGCATATTGAAAATCTTTGATTAATAACGGAGAGTAATCATTTAAGAGAAAAAAAATTTGCACAGCACCTAGCTGATTTGACTATAAGTATCCTGCATAGTTTTCCTTCACATGTATTAAAGAAGCGTAACTGTAACTCAATGTCAACGTAAATTACGACATATAGCCATACGAAGCTCAATTTTCTTCGCGAAAATGTTATTATTTGCCCAGATGCTGGAGAAAAATTTGATTTTGATAGAAAACTTTTGAGACACTACACAAATGTGTCGATCTAGTGGAATGAGAAGCGAATTCTGAGCCTTTATTGGTCTACAAAGTTTGCAAGAATGTAAGTTTTAGTATGCTCAGACCTTACGAATCCATCGCCTGTTGTTGACAACAGATGATATATGAATTAATCTCGTAGCAATGCATCATCTATTAGAATCAATGA